CCCCAGTGCGAGACTTGCACCGGGTTGGTGAAGCCGAATATTGTATTCTTTGGGGATGGCTTGCCGAGGGAGTTTCACATAGGGCTTAGCATGGTCGAAGAGGCGGACTTAGTGATCATGATGGGGAGCTCATTAAGTGGTTACCCGTTTGCGGTACTTCCCGGACGCGCGAGGGAGGGGGCGGTCAGGGTTTTAATCAACAATGAGAAGGCAGGGGGGATTGGTGGCCGGTCGGGCGGTGTGCATTTGCTAGGCGGGTGCGATTGGGGGGTGAGAAGGCTGGCGGAGGAGCCGGAGGAAGTTAGGAGGTCGGTCGGAGGTGGGAGCGATAAGGAGGCGGAAGCGCAGGCCGACAGCAGCGAAGCTGCCGAACCGGTAGAAAGCATGGATGTGAAAGTTGGCTGTCTAACTGAAGAAGTTGAGCGTAGCCTATCCGTCGTTGACGGCTGGAAGGACAACGTCATGAAAGACCTTTCCACCCAAGAGACACGGATCGCTAAAGTGGTCGAGGCTGACCTTCGCGGGAAGAACGGCGAAGTTAGCCTCGTGGACCAGAAGAATCTTGGTGGGGATGCGGCCGACCAACCAACTGGTTCTTCCGAGGACGGGGCTAACCTCGATACCGCCGCTCGGGAGCCGGAGCATCTGGTGGGGAAAGTGGGTAGTGCTGGGGCTGAATGATTTTCCTAAATGTGGGATATGAAGATGAGGATATTTGAATTGACAATTTTAGCTATTCTTCCTTTTTCGGTCCTCGCGGTATGCTCGCTGGTCAGTTGTTTTTGTCGAGCAATAAGTACGGATAATATATGTTGGCTTTTTTGCATTCGACTTTCTGTTCGCAGGGTACTATGATACCAAAGTGAGACTGTTATACTGTAGAGTACAGTATCCGCCGTCATGAATAATCACTCGCGTCACAATTTACCAGGGTTGGTTGTGTGGTCATGAAGCCCATATCTGAATTCTGCATCACACTACTCCTCCATCATATACTTGAACTATTGATGCCCTTCCACCTTCCCGTGCCTTGCACACCCCCAATCCTGCTTCTTTTCATTTCCTCATGACCGACCAACCCTGCGGCCTGCTTGCGTGCACCCCATTCCCTTCCCCCAACGACGCGTGATTACGGCACCGACAACTCCAAATCCACAGCGGGAAGGATAACTTAATAATAATACTATCATGGAATTGTAGGGGAAATGTTCCGCTTACCCGGTATGGTGCATGGGGGTAGGTAATTGAACCTTTAGGAGCACTGCGAGATTCATTCGGAATCGCTCGTTGGCGGCAAGCTTGACGCACTTGGCGAGTTATAGACCGGTGACTTCATGGTAGAGGGAAGAGTGAGAAACAAGGAGGGTAGCCAGAGACTGTGGTGTTTGCCGGGACTGTAAGGGGAGGGAGGGGGGTGGGGGTGGGAGTCTCTCGGGCGCCACCCGTCGTATAGATCCGCACATCATTTTCGATATCGGATCAGATTTTGGCTAGAGACGGGCATTAAGGCTTGGGGCTTGTGGCAGCACACATGGCGCCCCATCCGGAAGGAGCGGGAGTGGTGGACAAAATACGGTACTAAACCCAAAGCAGCCACTATTTGTGGGGGCTGAGCTGCACAGGCCCCCTCCTAGCACTGCTGCTCTACCTTTGCTCACCCCCGGAAACCCCGTACGTTCCCCCAGAGCCCAAAGGCAATCACGTGAGTCAAAACCCAGCAGAAAGTATAGACGAGATCTGAACCTTGGTATTGGAGGCCTTATAGCAGGTTGACAAAGCTTACAGTGAACTATTCCCACTACCTAAGATAACATTTGAGGTCCAGGAAAACGTTCGGAAGCTGGCGGATAGTCCTCCATTCATCGTGTTCATTCAGCAATGGATTTGGATACCCTATAGGAGGGCACAGTATCTCTTACCGGCACCACCCCTTCCATTCGTTATTAACCATATTCAACAAGATCACAATATATCACTCGACCAACACTTATTTTCCAATGTTGAAAATATTCGATACGGAGGTAATGATAAGTGAAGAGGGTTTTACGCAGCGGAGTGGAGTGGCACAGGTGAATGTTCCGAGGTCGCTGTTGTAAGTATGCCATAGGGCATGATGATATAGCTTCCTGATGAGGGGAAGAGGAGATGTGGAATAGAGGAAACCGACGGAAAAGCGGTGTACTGTACCGAACCGAAATTGGAGAACAGTTATAGTAGGTTGGGCCGAGTATGCTGGTTTGGAATTGAAGGATATTTATGGGATCAGAAGAACATGTAGAAATAGGTAGATGGCTACCTGGCACCTTAGTGAAGTAAGTTAAGGTTGTCTTCGGTCGCATGAGAAAATAGTACTTTTCTTAAGAACTCTCCATTCTGAACATCTTTTATCTGTCTCCGAGACCTTCGTTTCCTTCCTTTTTCAACAGTCGCGTTAAGCAGCGGTAGAGACTATGTTTTCGTTGTATGTGCATATAGAGAGAAGAGAAAGGTGAGAAGGTAAGAGTGGAAGGAAAGATGGAAAAGTCTTGGCTAAGAGGAACAAGAAGAAACAGGAGCAAAGAGAAAGGCTTGGGCGTCTTCGCTAGCGCATACGTATACCACCACGGCCATAAGAGTGCGGGTATGATACTTCCGTACCAAGTGCGGCTCTTTTCAACATCCAAGCCACGCATCACAAAGGCCCCGGGCCAGCTCCCGCTGAGTGGACGACAGCGGGCTCGTGTCCACCAAGCGCAGGAATATATGGAAAACCCGTCAAAAATTCAATAATATTACAGAATACTCCAAAAGAGAGAAGCCCACGACAACATTCCAACCCCTACCGGAAGATTGCCACCATCTCCAGACTCCAGCCGGCCC